ATGAGCAAATGTATGCATGAATGAATGAGCTAAGTTTGACAGGGAAATACTAGTATATTTATGAAAGAGACATGAAATGACCAGCCTTCAAAGGACAAAGTGAAGATTTGATTTTTTTTTTTTCCCTCCTATGGATCACTACCACACACTTTATTACTAGGAAGGAGAACTCTGGACAATTCCTTGGAATCTAACGACATCCTGATTTTTTAAAAGTGCATTGGATGAACCAAATCACAAATTCTAAACACTCCAAACTCAGGCATTTTCCCAGCCAATAGGCTCTGAAAAGGCCCATCTGTGCTACACCTTAGGGAATGGGGATAGTTGCTTCAAATCTCAATACTTATCAGTCTGAAGATTGTTCCTTTTTTCCTCACTATCAGGGAAGATAATTAGATATGCTATAGGAAATATATTTAAGTGTTAACATTGGTTGTTTCACAGTGGTGGACTCCTGGCTAACTTTTATTTTCTACTTTATGCCTTTCAATATTTTGCAAATTTTCTGCATTAGTCCTGAATTGCTTTTATAATGATGAGAAATCAGTTGAAAAACTTCTTGTGACTCTCGTATGGGAGAATTAAGTTAGGAAAGTTGTAAAACTACTTAGAAATCTTCAAATTACTTAGAAATCTACTAAGTTTTCACATTGTGGAAAACTTAAAGGGAAGGTTCAGGGTGATTTGTACTTGGGCAGAATGTGGTTATAGGCCTATTCCATTCTAAGCTATTAAATACAAAATATATAAATGTTATCTTAAATATCAAACAAGACCAAAGGCAATTTAATAGCAATTAATTTTGTGTTATCTCCAAAGCTCCAGTTGAAAATGTCCTTGTTGCAATAAAATTCCTAGGCCTCTTAACCCAGCATTTTAACTAACGAATTTAATTATGAAGAAACTGCTGTCACTAAAGCCTTCTTAATCATACCTGTTTTTATGTCAAGAAAAAATATGTTGCCATGGAAATTTGTGTCAACGTTGCAAGCTCCACTGAAATGTAAAGCAAAAATAGAAAATGTGTTTTGGTAAAGAGAAACAGCTTAATATATTTCTTAAAACATTTAAATTATGGATAGTAGGTGGATTTTAGAAGTGAACCTCATTGTGCATAACAAGCAGTCATGTAAAAAGTTCTGCCTCTAATTTCAAACAATCAAATAATTTAAATTATAACTAGGGAATGTACAATTGATAGGAATTGTACAGGGAATCTGCCTCAATTTAATTAAACATTTATTGATGCTCTCCCATATTATATTAAAAATTAATATTTTCATAGATTGAGTTTTCTAAAATTGGGCACATGTATAGTTTGACATTAACTTCAAAATGATTTTTAGTTGTCATTAAAACCCCAAATAGTGAACCAGATGTGATCTACTCAGTTACAGTTATATAAGGAGACCAGAGTCATAAATCACATTTAATGGGGATTTCCTGACAGGTGAGCGAATAGCCATACGAAGCACGCCAGCCAACAAGACAAGGAAGGTAACCTTTGTGTGTTTGTTTTTAATTTATGAAATATATCATGTATGTAAAAAAGTAAAGACCAATATAACAAACCTCCAGCTTAAAAGAGAAAATTTTACAAATACAAATAAAACCTATTCAGCATTTTTCCTAGACCACATTCCCCCTCCTTTATCCACGGGGTGACCACAACCTAATGGGTTGTCGGAAAAGTCATGACGTATTTTTTTCTGTTTTTCGTTGCAAAGCTGTGTCATGACTTTTCCAACAACTCAATAATTTTGGTGTTGACCATTAACCTGCATTAACAAAATGTTTTCAGCACATACTTATACAACCACAAATATTATGTTATTTTGCCTGTTTTTAAAATTTTATATGAATGGTATCTTCCTATACATATTTTTCTGCAATACTTCACTTTTTTCTTTTGTTCAATCTGCTTTTGATGTGTATCCAGATTGTCTCTGATACATGATAAATGATGATTAATTCATTTATAACTGCTCTTTAGTAGTCTGTTATTCATTCATTTATAACTTCTGTATAATATTCTACTGTATGACTATACCATTATATATTTATCCATTCTCCACCTAAGGGATATTTAGTAGGTTTCCATTTTTTTGCTATTGAATCAATGCATCAGTGAACATTTTTTCACAAGTGTCCTTGGGCATGTGGAGGGGCTTCTTTGGGGATATACTATAAGCACTTCAAATATGAAAAAATGAGAAAGAGTGGTTAAACAGAGGACTTCCTGGTCCATTGTTTTCTCCTCTAATCCACAGTTAGGAGCTTGTCCAATCCTATGCACACATCGATAAATACATTAAATATACTATTTTATTTTTATGGATTAAAGATGTCAATGATGACATTATGTATACTTCACCTAAGTCTCCAGGTGTTGTGGGCACCCTGTAGTTTCCAAGATACACTAGCAAACAATAATGTATCCAACCTCAAGCTAAATGAGACCTAAAGAAATGTGGGCAGGCTCACACACTCATTGTCATAAAGATGTAACACTGTGATATAAGGTATAAGATACAAAGATATAAGATATTGAGCTAAAGATATAAGACCGTGCTGTGAAGAAATACCAATAAAAACTATATGCCAAATGGCACTGTGAAGAGCCAAACAAGCAGGTGCCGGGAAGTGCTTTAGGAGCTTGGGGAGCCCTATCATCTGTCATTTGAACTGGGATGGAGAGATTTATATTCTGTTGTCTGGAAGACGAAGGAAGAGCAATGCAGACCAGAGGCAGAAACCAAGTTTGTAGTGCGCCCAGAGATGCACCACTTTCCCCCTACAATTCAATAAAGAAAAACAGTCAACTGGGGTGGGGAATGTGTGAAGTGCCTGTACCAGGAGTGAACTGAGACCGCTGCGTTTGAGCCTCTGACTAGCCTGCAGGTGGTCCATTTCTAAAGCAATCTCTTGAAGACTGACATGGAGAAAGAGAAGGGAAGCACTGGGGTTTTGTCACCATCACTTAGCTGCTGCACTGGCTCCTATTTCCTGGCTCCCCACTTCCCACCCTGCTTTCTGCTCCCCTTCTTCCCCTTTCAGTTGGCCTCCTGTCATTCTGTGTTATATTAAAACAAATAGAACACTTTGCAGGTGTCAGCTATAAAGCATTTGCATATACTGTACATTGCATTGAAAAAAAAAAAGCAGCTGCAAATTATATAATTTGGTCTTTAGAAAAAACCTGAAAGACATTTCTGGAAATAAGCACATCTTTCATCCTGGTAGATTAAGAATTTTCTTTTTGTTTGTGCTTCACCATTTCTTCACTGCCTTACACAGAAAGTTTCAGCTTTAACTAGTGAGTGTCGTTCCCATTTTAGAAGAGATGGGAGATTTTTGGAATGATGGCTTAGAAAGGGAAACTATGACTGCAGGGTCTGATGTGGTTTTAGATAGCGTTTTTCTCAGTCCAAACAACATCTAAGAATAACAGAACTGTAAGTTACTAAAGAGGAGAAAAAGTAAAACTGTGCTGAAATACTATCTGTAATAGTTGGAAGAGACTTTCCTTCCCCAGAGAAAACCAATATACTGGCACGGATAACACTGGGGACACCCCCATGCTTTCTTGGGACATCCTTCCAGGTCCAAAAATATTTCCTTCAATGGAAAATGTTTTGTTACTGTCTCTTTCCTTTTCACTACAACAGTTTCCTACTGGTCTTCTTGCCTTTGTTTCTTCCCTTGCTAATGTATACTGCATATTTATCATCCCTGAGAGCCAGTCCATCATTCATTTCATTCATTCATTCATTCATTCATTCATTCATTCATTCATTCCTTATTACCCACTCTATATTTACTGAATGTCTATTAGTGCCTGGAATTTGCCCCTCTTCTCCTTACTCACCAACAATGGTACCCTATCACACACTGAATGAAGCCCATAGTCTTCACTCTAATTCAGCCCCTAGAGCTTATTTTCTATATGGCTGGCCACTCCAGATAGGTAGTAGGAAAGTCCTTTGCACATACAGCATATCCATTTTCATTTTTATGCCTCTGTTCTTTTATGGCATCCTGCCTACCAGCAAGTTTTCAACCATCAAATCCTGATAATTAAAAGTCTTGCTCAAGACTCATTTCCTCTATGTAGTATTCTAGGACAATTCTAACCTGGGTGTTCCCAGACTTTGGAACTTTCATGCTAAACAAAATGGGTCAGAAATGTATGATCCTCTTCCAATTTGGCAGGGAAATGATAACTCTTAGCATGGTGACTATTACTACCTCAGGTGTTGTGCTAAGCACCTTCTTATATCATCTCACTTAATTTAATCCACAGAAGAATACTATTAATTTTCCTATTTTACTGGTGAGGAAATGAAGACTTAAGCAATTTGTTACTTTCCCAGAGTAGAACTGGTAAGTGGTGAAGTTACTCTTCAAACTCAGATCTATAAAATGTCATAGCTCATGCTCTAAAATTTTATGCAAAGTTGCCTCTCGGAAGTATAAAATATGAAAGGTCTAAATTGCTATAGATTTCTTCCCAAACCCTGTAGATAAACTTCCAAAGATGAATTTACCATGTGTTGAGGTTTAATCCAGAGTTTCTCTTTCTTGACACTATTTACATTTTGGGCCAAATCATTCTTGGTTGTGGGGAGCTCTCTTGGGAATTGTAGGATATTTTGCAGCATCCCTGGCTTCTACCCATTAGATGACTAGTTATATCAATCAAAAATGTCTTTGGAGATTGCCAAATGTCACTCTAGAGGCAAAATTCCCTCCGGTTGAAACCACTGGTTTAATTCAATCTTGCTGCATGGATACATCTAAAGACAACCTAAACATAAACTATATAAATATGGGAATAGTTACACTGTGCACAAACATATTTCCTCTGAATAGTTCTGTAAGATAGTCCCAATAAGTAATAGCACTGTCATTTAATTCAAGTACAATTTAAAACATTACTAAAAACTATAACTTAAAGAAATTTAGCTTGTGTAAGAAAACAATTTTATTTTGTTTGTTGTAAGATGACAGTTCTTATTTCAAACCAAGAAAAACATTAACATGTATAGGATGTTTAGGGAATAATCGACACAATCCAGTTGAAAAGGCTTCCTCCTGATATGATGCAACCATTAGCAAGATCAAAAAGTCTCTCAAGATTGAATACAGATGGCAGCGAGATGTCAAATGGGACCTGATGACAAGAAAAGCATAAATGTGTTCATGAAATACATTGTGTTAAACTGTTCACTGAAGTTATGTTCTCAAAACACACAAATACCAATTCTACATAATTTTATGTGAAACGTATGCAATTCTTGCCTAAGGTAAGATACAACGTTCTATGATACATTTCTACACTACTGAAATGTCACATATATCATTTTATATCCTATTAAGATTCATATCTATGAGTCTATAAAAATGAGCCTATAAAACAGCAGATACTTCTAGAAATATGGATTATTTGTATCTACATAATCATTGTGGATGATTCTAAATGTTGGACTTTTGGCTCTAATAAAATGTTTTCCTCCTTCATATACTGCCCAGTTGACAAATCTCCTTCTCTCGTTTTGAGCTGAAGTCTCAAAAATAGCAAGCAAATTATGCTAGAAGCCCTATCTCTCTGAAAGAGGCACCGTGTTACCATGCCGAGGACTAGTGCCATCTGAGCAATCTGAAAAATGAGAAATAAGACTGCTTTTGTGATCATAGCTCTGGTTAGTTGATTGGGAGAAGGACAGGAAGGAGAGAACAAACATGAAGGAAAGGAAACAAAGGTCTACTGGTGGGACTCACTTCATGCACATCTAGCTACTTGTGAAGGTGAACAAGCAAATGTCGTGTACAATGACCACCATGAATTAGATCCTCATGGGCCTGAATCCTGCTAAGAAATTAGAGGACACATCTTATTAATTTCTTGTCTACTTGTTAACCAAAACTTCTTTTCTGAAGAAAACAATGAACCTAAACATAGAGACTATTTTTTTATTTCTTTCTCTTCACTTGATTGGATTAAAAAATGACAAAAACATTCCAGTTTTTTTTGTGTGTTTTTTTTATAACTTCAAATAGTAAAGAGGTGAATACATAAAAAATGAATAATATCCTCTTTTCTCAATTCCTGGAGTAATTAGTGTTACCAGTTTGAGGAGTAGTCTTCCCAAACTTCTTAAGTCCTCATACAAATATATATTTGCGCGATTTATTTCTTTTCCTTTTCTGTTTTTCCTTCCTTTTTTGGAAAAAGCATAACTAGATTTCCATTATTTGCTTTTTCAATCACCAATATGTAAGAGAAATCCCTCCTTAATCAGTTCAGCGGGGCAGAATGACCACAGGGAGGTTAAGAGCGTGCATTCTGGAATATGACTGTCTGGTTCAAATTCAGACTTCACCGCATACCAGCTATGTGAGTAAGGTTGGCTAAGATATTTGATCTGCTTGAACTTTAATTTCCTCATCCATAAAGTGAAAATAATAATTCCTATATAGTATTGCTGTATAAGGATGGAATGAATTTATACACATATATTATAGAGTTGACCTTGAACAATGTGGGAATTAGGGGTGCCAACCCCCATGCAGTAAAAAATCTGCATATAACTTGTGACTCCCCTAAAATTTAACTACTAATAGCCTACTGTTGACTAGCAGCCTTACCGATAACATAAATAATTGATTAGCACATATTTTGTATGTTATATGCATCACATACTATATTCTTACAATAAAGCTAGAGAAAATGTTATTAAGAAAATCATAAAGACAAGAAAATTTACTTATAGTACTGTACGTGTTTATTGAAAAATCCACATATAAGTGGATTCACGCAGTCCAAAGTTCGAGTTAACTGTACTTGGAACAGTGCTACATAACAATGTGTGGGATTGACATATCCTAATTTATTCAGTCATTTGCCACAGAGGTTGTTTCTAATTTTTGTACATGCTTGTCTATTCACATATATCCTGGGTACAGGTGTTTTTATTTCTCTATTACTGATTCCCCAAGGTGGCTGGTTTAGTCAAAGGGTGTTTATATTTTACTTTTTAACATTTCTTGCCAGATTACTTTGCAAATAGGTTGTGACAATTAACACTTCAACCAGAAATATATGAGGGTTTTTTCACACCCAGGGTAACATATTATTATGGAATGTAATAAACATTTTGGAGGACATTTAATGACTATTTTATTCAGAAAAGAATAATGGGAAACATTTTTGAGAGCTAATATTAACAGGTTTATGAATACATTGGAAATATATGTGATTACCATGGTTATTTTGGTTATATCTCCTTGCTATTTACACTAAATATTCAGTCTATTATGTTTTGATGAAATATCTTACATCCAATAATATCCTTTAGTAGATTATTTTCAAAATAGTATATAAAAATAATAATTGACATTAAAATATTTGTGTTTTCTCTTGTGTTATATCTCTGTTCTCTGTTATTATAGAATTCTTCTCATGTTAAAGATAAGAATGGTTAAAAAAAAAAAAGCAAAGTGGCCAAGTTTTAGATACCATTAGAAGTATCTTTGACATAATTTATATACTAGATACAAATAGAGTACTTTGGCCTCTGACCCTGACAATGAAGCTGTAGAAACAAGTGGCCATTTGTCAAAGGATGAAGATCAATTGCTGAATTTATTTATGGAGGCCACAAGTAAAAGAATCAGGTCAGGAAGATAAAATAAAAACAGGTGTCACCCAGGAGTTATTAATTCTTGTCCATCCTCTGGAGAACACAAATTACCCTAAAATATCAGAACTTACCTTTGTGTTATTACCTCTTCCTTTCTAGACACTAAGGCCCTTCGGTGGACAATTCAAGTGCTTCAAATTTCAGCTGTTTCTATCATGCTATAACACAGTGGTCTGTATTTTTCTATTGCTAAACAAAATTCTTTAACTAAACTTTTGATTGAAATACAACATACAGACAGAAAAGAGAGAAATCTTAAGCGTACTACTTGGTAACATTTTGTCAAAAGGAACACATCCTCACAACCATTACTCAAATCAAGAAAAAGAATATGAGTGGCATCCAAGAGGTCCCCTGTTGCTCCCTCCTAGTCACTGCTCCTGCCCTCCTACCACCAAAGTAACCACTGTTACACAGGCGTCTGTGCCAATATTTTAGTTTTACTTGGTGTGTATGTGTGTTTTAACTGTATTCCTTAACTGTATTTAAGATCATAAGTAAGTACACTTCAGAAGAGTACATATTTTTTTAGGTATATACATAAAAGTGGATCTTCCTAGGCCATTGATTATGCATATATAGAGGGTGCCAAAAACAGGTAGACACATTTTAAGAAAGGAAAATACTGTATTAAGATTGTAATACTCAATATATACTGATGACAAAAGATGAATACAAGACACATTTGACTTCTGCAATTACAAGAGGTGCTCAAAGTGGTTACCATCAGCGTAATTTTAATACAGCTTTTTTCCTTTCTTAAAATGTATATACATTTTTTGGTACCCTCTGTATTTATCTTTAAGCTTATTCTACCAAACAATTTTCTAAAGTGGTTGGCCAATTTATAGCCCTGCCAGCAATGTATAAGGATATTAGTTATTCTACATCTTCACACACTTTGGTCATTTTACTTTTGAATTTTAGCCATTCTGTTGTATGTTTTGAAATATCTCTTCATGTTTCTAATGTCATGTCCCTGACAACTAATAATATGGAACATGTTTATTGGTCTCTTTATTGAAGTGCACATCTTTGTCCAATTAATATTAAGCTGTCTTTTTCTTACCGATATATACAGGGATTCTTTTTTTTTTTTTAAGATTTTATTGGGGAATTGGGGAATCAGGGAAGGGGAACAGACAAGTTGCTGTCCTTTTGTTCTTCAGTCTAGTTGTGGAGGACGTCACTTTACTGGCCCATGTTGGTATTATCATTGCGCTCTTCCCGGGTGAGGCAGTCGCTCACCGGCCATTGAATGGCTGTTCACGGTGGCTCACGACAGGTCACAAAAGCTCACGCCCGCTGCCGGCCAGCCCCACTGCAGCCTACGCCATCACTGGCGACACAAGGCAGCCCAGCTCCAGGTCGAGCTGTTGTTCACCATCTTAGCTGTAGAGGGCGCAGCATCACTGGCCCTCATGTGGGATCTGAACCAGGGCCCTGCTGCTCAGAGCTAGCTGGTGTCCCAAGCCAACTCCTAACCAATGTGCCACTCGGCCGGCCCCAGGGATTCTTAATACATTTCAGAAACAAGCCCTTTGTTGGGTGTATATAAATATTTTCTCCCACTCTGTGGCTTGCCATTTCACTATCTTTAATAGTGTCTTAAAATACAATACAATTTATCAATCTTTCCCCTCATTATTGGTACTTTTTCATAGGTCCTATTATGAAAGTTCTCCCGTTACCAAGGTCATGAAAAAAATCTCTGATAATTTCCTCGAGAAGCTTTATTGTTTCTCTTTCACATTTAGTTCTGCCGTGAATTTGGAAATGATTTCGTATGTATTGTGAGGTAGAAATCAAAGTGTATAGATGTCCAATTGGCTCAGATCCATTTGTTGAAAAGACTGTTCTTTCCTCACTGTTCTGAAAAGTCACCTTGAACACAGACCAGGGACTGCATATGTGTGGCTCTTCAGAACACATCCCTAACCACTGTGCTGTACTGTCTCTCCCCTCCTGCCCAACCGTCCTTTGAACTCCCTCCTGCCATGGCTGTCAATCACGAAATGCCCCTCCTCTATGCAGCATCTCCTCCCACTCCCACCTGCCTTCACTCAGTCTTCCCCGCCTCCAACGGGCTCGGTGGTAATCTGAACAGTTTGCTAGCTCCAGCTTTTGGAAATGTTATGGAAGGTTCCAGGTCTTCTTCCATAAGGAATTTCTCCAGTAAAGTTAAGCTCAAGTGAAATAACTGAATTCCCTTCTTTGTCATTCAGTAGAAACAAGATTGGCAATCATATAATCACTGAGAAGTCCTCTATGTTTTGTAAATAGCTTTGAGTCCAAATTGTCCCAGAAAAGGTACCAGCAAGTCCTTGTTCCTTTTTCTTTATGGAGGAAAAGCAAGGAAAAGCTTGGCGGGTAATAGACTGCAAATTAATTCAAGTAGGTTATGCATTAAGGAGTAATATTAAGGAAATGGTGATGATTTCACCTGCCTACAGAGGATAAAAGTCTGAAATAGTACAAGGAAGGGAAAGAAAGTTAATCAAGTTGGAGCACATTGAAGGGGTTCATTAAAATCTGCTCTGAACTTGAACTTGTTTGGGGGAATTTTGAAAGACATTGGAGAGTTAAAGGTTATTTGCCAATGCTATACTGTATTTCATATGAGTTTCTACGTGAAACCCAGATTCTATCATAATGAAAGATTTTATTACTTCTGTTCTTTTGTTCCAACAATTTTCTTTGCTTGAAAAAAACATCAAATAGCCTTCAAAGTATCTATGATTTTTCTCAAGCCAATGAGTTTTTATTGAGCAACTACTTTGAGACCTCTTCTTGCTTCTTTCAGCACAGTGTCAGCTGCCTTTCTTTCATTGATTCTAAATGTTAATGACCAGGAAAAAAGGGAGAAAGCCAAATTCCCACTAATGAATTAGGTTCGACTACTCTTATAATTGGTAAGTGGGATTTCAAAAATTGTGGGCTTCGTGATGTGGATGGATTTAACTTTGCCTTCAATCAAGTATCTTAAAACATAGAGAATCACAGCTATGAAAAAAAACATTTACTAGCTCTGAGGTAGGAAAGCAATTACTGTTTTCATTTAGCACTCTCACACAAGTTTCTCTACCATGTTTTCTATATTAATAGATCACCAGTCTTTGAAGTTAATTATTTATTGGATTTTTTTTGACTGGAGAAAAACATGCATTGCCTAGTAGAAAGGATAATATGATACTAGCTTACTAAGAATCAATATCATGAATGACTTGTGACCCATCTAATAAAAGTTCCAGCTGAGAGGGAACAATTTATATTTGGTTTCACTGTGCTTTATATGATCAGAGAATCCTAATACCAATGACAATAGATCTTATTTTCCCCAATCTAATAGAAAGAGCAACCAACTCTTAGGAAGGTGAGAAGGGCTTGTATTCAATTCTACCAGATCACATGAAATTTCACACTTTGCTGAGAACAAGATTATTTGTTGTATCACCCTAATTTTTGTATTAATAAAACTTTAAATATGATAGAAAAGGTTTTTTTATTATAATATGAGATCAAAGGGTCATATCAGTGAGATGGTAGGAATCTTTTAAATTTAATTTTAAAGAAATAACACTATTATAAAGACATTTTGCAGAGAAGAAGAAAATTAGAAATTAGGATATGAGAGAGAAAGCATTTGCACAGAGAATTGGTTCAAATGTCACACTGTCTAAGAACAGGATAGGTTCTTCTTAAATCATCATATCATTACCATTGTCACTGTCACTCTACAACCACTGAGTCCTGGCTGTGCATGGGACTTGAGCAGAATTCACCTTTTAATAAAGGGCAATTCTTGCTCAGACACATTGTACCACACGCACAGGAAACCAAATATTTCAGTCCACCCCAGATCAACTCTGCAACCTGAAGGAGCCCTGCCTCTCTTCTTGCATCTAAGTAGATGTCAAAAATGTTTTGAACAATGGCTTCTTTATTGGAAGACATGAAGAGTGCCTCCATGAGCGAAGACATATTGAGGGAGACTGCATTCACTGAAATGTGTGTTTAAAAATCAATTTTAGGTTATGTTCACAGTTCACAGTTGTGTTATAATAAAAAAAATATTTGGCCTTTGTGCCCCATTTCTGGCATAGTACTCCTAAAACTCTTGAAAAAAAAATTGGGGGGATAAGAAGATGACTCATGGGGCAGGGAGGTGTCTAGATAGCGCCAAAATGGGATTGGTCACCAGGAAACCCAACCATGTGATTACAGACTTAAAACTTTCAGCCCTGAGCCCCTAAATCTGAGGAGGGGAGAGGGACTGGAGACTGAGTTCAGTCGCCAATGGCCAATGATTTAATCCATCATGCCGAGGTAATGAAACCTCCATAAAAACCCCATATGACAGGTGTCAAGGTGTTTCTTGGGTGGCCAACACATTGATGTGCTGCAGGGGGGAGCACTCAGAGAGGGGATGGGAGCTCTGCTCCTCCCCACCCCCTATATCTTGTCCTAGGCATCTTTTCAGTTTGGCTGTTCTTCGGTTGTATCTTTTACAATAAATTGGTCATTGTAAATACCATGCTCTCCTGAGTTTTGTGAGTCTTTTCGGAAAGTTATCAAACCTGAGGGGGCATCATGGGAGCTCCCAAATTTGTAGCCTGCTGGGCAGAAGTGTAGGTAGCCTGTGCATCCTTATTTGCAGCAGGCGTCTGAAGTGGGGGCAGTCTTGAATGGAGCCCTTCATCTGTGGGGTTCTGTGCTAACTCTGGGCAGTGGTGCCAGAAATGAATTGAATTGTTGGACACCCAGGTGATGTCAGAGACTTGTCCTCTAATTGGTTGCTGTCAGGAAAACCACACAACAGTCCTATCTAGTGTTATGTAGATTAGGGCAGTTCTCAGCTGGTGAATGTCTTTGGGGCCTTCTCCTACACTCCTCCTCCTTCTTGGCATGAGTCTACACACACACTGCCCTTCCTACCCCTCCCCAGGCCGAGCCAGGCACTACTTGATGAACAGTGATAGAGCTGGCAGCGATATCATCATTATGGATATATGCTTTTCACAGGGAGCTACTTAAGAAAACAATCCTTTAAAGACCAAAAGAGAGACTTCAAAATAAAAGTGAAAGTTTAGGCTGTACATATCCAGGCTTATTCTGACTGCTCAAGAGTCCAAGGGCCAGAGAAATGAGCCTTTGAAATCTGACACTCCATTGTGCAGAAAGAACAGCTGCTCTCTTTCTCTCTCTCTCTCTCTCTCTCTCTCTCTCTCTCTCTCTTTGCAGGAAAGTATTTTTCACTACATAAAGAATTAATAAAGGGTCTCATACAGGACAAATCCTTTTAAAATATCGAAAGCTCTAATCAGAACAGGAAGCATGAGTTATTCAACCAACAACGAAGTGCATAGGGCTTAAAGGCTAGATGCAAGCTCACAGCCGATCGTTCAGTGCTTATAACCAGGGGTGTGGGGGAAGGATTAAAGGAAAAGTTTCCTTGGATAGAGAACTGAACAGAAATGCCTATATTTAATGTTTTTAAAATTGAATGCCTAGTCTTCATTCTCTGTGGAGACACAAGGGTATAAATTCTGATATAGTACTTATACATGATTACACTTCTCTTTACATCATTGCCTTTATTTTCAGAAGATGGTTTAAAGCTTTCTCAAATCCTCATTTTTATACTCTGGAAAAATGGTGTCACTAAAAAAGGAAGGCTGCATTTATTTGGGATTGGATATGGGCTGGAGTCTTTGTTTTATAGAGTTTATTTCATTTGTAAATTAACTGTTCAAACAGAATCAAAAGAAAATGTATTGAACTATGGATCACAATGCAGTGTATTTTTAATCATAAGTGGGTGACATGTGTATGATGTTTTCCCCTTACTTCTATATTAAAAAATAAACTTTAAGCCAGAAAGTATGTTTCTTAGTTCCTTTAGAACTCTTCTAATTTAATAAATAAGGAATAATTGAGCACCCTTACATATTCATCACCAGTCAGGGATCTTCATTTTTTGTTTTAAACTCATTGTTGCAGTTCAGGTTCTTGGGAAACAGACCCTGGGGGAACTTAGCTTTCAGGAAGCTTATTAGAAAATACCCATGGGATGGACACCCAAGGGGAAAGGGAAGAAAGCAGGATTAGGCAGAGATGGGCGGAGAGAGAAAATAGGCAGAGAGAGAGAAGTTGCAGTCACAGCAAAGGGCTCAGCCAACCTCAGGGGGGCTTTGAAGCTGGGATGGCCTTTCAAAGTCGACCTGAATCATGGTGGGGGGTGGGGGTCAGGTCTTTGTACCCTCATATCAACCAGTAATTGGATTCAGACTTCCCCTAAGAAAGAGACCATGTTCTTTGGCCGGGAACAATTCTTAGGGAGAGCTGAGAGCTGAGGGCTGTCAGGCAGCACATTCCGGCAGCTGGGAAACAAAGTTCCTCCATCCTGGAGGGGAGATCTGGGTAAAGGGGCAGGCATGTATATTTAATTCAGTGGTTAACTACAGAACCATTAAACAAGTGGCAATATGGCAAAATGCATGCTAGTATAGAACCAATACCAGCTAAGGGGAGATTTAAAGTAATCACTAGGTAAGAATTCATATACCAAGTTTCCAGGTGCTTGTTTTCTGGGTCATGGTGAAACAAGCTTAATACAGTCCCAGTATCACTTCTATAATCATTTTATTTGATTACTCTTGGGAACATTGTCCTCTCTAGAGCATGAGAAAGAGAATTAGAAATTAAAAAATAGGAAGAAGATTCAGAAATAATATCTTCTCATAACTTAAATATGAAGAAATTTAATAATTTCACCTAAAGCCTAACTTTATTTGAGAAAATTCCCTATGGAAGACACAGAACCTTCCATCAAATTTCTAAAAGCTGAATGAAGCTGGAAAAACGTCCAGGGTACCACCGAGCCCATGGGAAGAGCAAGGGACTGAGGTCAGGTGGGAGTGGGAGGGAAAGCTTCACAGAGCAGGGGCATTTCATGGTTGGCGGCCATGGCGGGAGGGAGTTCAGATAGTTGGGCAGTCGGGGAGAGGCAGAACAGCACAGTGGTTAGGGATGCGTTCTGAGGAGCCAGCCTGCCTGGGCGGGAATTCTGGTTCTGACACTAACTAGCTGAAGGAACTTGGGCAAGTCTCTTAGGGTCTTCAGGACTCCATTTCTCACGTGTAAAATAATACTAGTACCTACCTTGACTAGAAAAGGAAATCTAAAGTCACATGTTGAACCCCACAATGTATGTGTGTATTAATTTCCTATTGCTGCTATAACAAATCTACAATACACCTAGTGGCTTACAACACAAATGTATCTTCTTACAGTCATGGAGACAAGAAAACTGAAATCAATTTCACTTCGCGAAAGTTGGGGTATCAACAGGACTGGTTTCTTCTCAGGGCTCTAAGAGGAGACTATGTTTCTTTGTCTTTTTTAGCTTCTAGAGGCCACTGTATTCCTTGATTGCGTTCTTTTTTCCATGTTCAACACACATCACTCCAAACTCTACTTCCATCATCCCATGACCTTCTCTTCTGTTGTCAAGTCTCCCTTTGCCTCCCTTTTATAAGGACACCTGTGATGACACTTAGGGCCCACCTGGGTAACCCAAGAAAATTTCCCCATCTCAATATCTTTAACTTAATCATATCTGCAAAGTCCCTTTTGTCATAGAAGGTAATAGGTGCTGGGGATTAGGATGTGGACATCCGGGGGGGGGGGCATTATTCAGCTTACCACACTGTGTGATTAAATGAGATGGTTTAGTTCATAAGAATATCATATTTGTATCATATCAGCTCAACACAGTTTTGGTAATGAAAGTTATTGAACTAATTCTGTTAAAAAATTTGTGGGGCCGGCCAAGTGGCTCAGTTGGTTAAGAGCTTGTTCAAGAGTTTGAGCTCTGAGCAACGGCGGTTCGAGTCCCGGCCTGAGCTGAGCAGCCGCTGAGCTGCCAACAGGTGGCAGGAGGGCTCCGCTAAAAAAAAAAAAAAAATTGTGGTATTCCTGAAAATACCTATTGTGCCGGAAGTTACTAATGTTCACTAAAATATATACTTGCTCCTCTACAGTTCTCTGCATCTTTGCACATTAGGTGGAGGCCAATAGGATATGAGCAGGAAGTACGATAGCCATTCCATGCTGGCTCTTAGAAATGATCACCTTAATTTATTGCCTAAACAGGGACACTTTTGAGAATAAAATAAAAGGAGAAATATTAACCATTACTCCAAATCAACAGGTATGCATTGTGACTGCCACGGGCAAACCAGGATGTGCGGTAGTGACCCTACTTAAACACATCCTGTAAATCCCCTACCCCCCTTCTCCTACAGTGGTGACCTTGGTGGCCACATAGTCCAGGCAGCATAGTTACAGTTTGAAGGAGAGTTGCCCGTCCTTCACTGGACTTTGCATGAGAAAGAAAAAAACCTTTATTCCCACTGAGATTTGTTTATTTGTTAGCGCAGCAATAGCCTACCCTATCCTGACTCAAACACGTATGTATGTTCTATGCATACCCTATTTCTGAATAGGGGGAAATTCCATCAGAGTAAGGGTTTAACTCCACTCAAAGGTCAGGGCTTTGAATCTCAGCAGCAAACTTACTGGAAGAAATGCTATAATTGAGTACAACGAAGTTGGGTTCCCTCCTGAATGGCTGGGTTGGCTCTGCCTATGGGCTTTTGACCTGGGATACAGAAATGAGAACTCTAGAGTTCGAATGATGCTTGGCATTTCTTGATGCTTCTATGAGGGAGCTCACCGTGCTTAATTAGAAACAGAAGGCCCTTTTTTAGAGCAAAGGCTTATAAAGAACATGAACTAAAGTTTGCGTTTTGTTCATGAGACTTTGTTGCTTAGAATCAAAGCATGACAGACTTTGTTGGTTAGCAGTCCCCACTGCAGGAGCAAACTGGAGGGCACAGCATGGGGGGAAAAAACAAACAAAAAACTGCTCACGTTGACTTCGTTATTCACATCTGTGTACATCACAGGCACCTGCAGACCATTCTTCTAATGTGGCCAACACAGACCTGTAATTTCTGATAGACAGTCTCACAGAGCTTGCAATTTACAAAGACTTTTCACATAAATCATTTCATTTAACTCTTTGTAGAATTTTTTAAATTGAACAATCAGCCTTTGTCAGTATTACTAAGAGGATGTGGATAAGAGAGCAAGGAAAAAGGAGAAAAACAGAGGAGGAGGAGGAAGGGAAGAGGGAGGTGGCGTGGGGAACCCACCACTGCGCCCCCTGAACATTTACTGTGCACTTATGCACTCTGCGCCAGGGACCACACTAAGCACTCTTGGCTGATGATAAATCTGTTGCCAAAATAAAATGTGTCAATATTCAGGAGGATTTTTTGGTTCATCAAAAGCATAGTTTAATGGCTCTCTGGGGAATTATGCTGAGTGAAAAAATGCCAACCCCTAACAGTTACATACTGTATGGTACCTTTAATATAACATTTTGGAAATGACAAAATTATAGAAATGGAGAATAGATTAGTCAAGGATCAGGGTCAGGGAGGGGGCGGGTGGGGGGAAGCTTGGGTAGCTATTATACAAAAAGATAACAAGAAGGGTCCTTGGGACAAAATTGCTCTGTAACCTGACTTTATTAATGTCAGTATCCTGGTTGTAATATTGTATTACGGTTTGGTAAGATGTTACCATTGGGGAAAACTGGGTAAAGGGAACGCAGGGTTTCTTTATACTATTTCTTATAATTGCATGTGAATCTGCAATTATCTCAAGACAAAAAAATTTAATTAAAAAAAGGTGGCTGAAAAGTAATACTAAAACTACATCTACACGT